TCCGGTGCTGTAATGAGCTAGGGTAATTGATCAGTGGATGAAAACCAAGGTTGTGGAATTGATGCTCAGTGTCAAAACAGCCCGGATCACTTCGGGGAGCTGTTCAGCGGGAGTCCGGTGGGAAAGCGGCCGACTTGGGTGAACCATGAAAAGGTCTGATTGTGCTGAGGCTCCCCCGCATGGTGCTACCACGTTGGGATCTGGTTTCTGTTCTCCGGATCGAAGGTCCTGGCTAGTACTTGCTTGCTTCCCTTTCTCATGAGGGTAGAGACAGCTTGGCAATTGCCCCACGGTAGCTACTGTTTGAATGTGGATATTAATTTAATCTGGAGTTCTGTTACTCTTTAAACAGTTAGGGGTTTGGCTGAGGTCTTTGTGTTCTTAGGATGCGATAGACAGTGAAAAATGGAATTGGAATGTTTCTAACTCATTTCAGAATGGAAAAGGATTCTTGGCCTCCTTTTCCCCAAATTCCCCCTCCCCTCACCCTATTCCTTGCTTCCATTTTCTCATCCTCTGACTAAAGTTTCTGATGAGAATGAAGAGCTATTTCAACATTTATGGACAGAGGCCATGGGGTGGAGGAGAGAGAGAAGATACTTTGAAGTCAGACAGATCCACAGAGAGATGAGTCACGCCCATCAGGTGGGAACTTAAGAGTCCCATGTCCTCATCTGTGAAATGGGGCTATGGACACCTACTCCTTAGAGTTGATACAAAGGTGAACTGAGACACGGTGAGCATGCACAGCAACCACAGGAGTTCTATTTTAAGTGAAATGCCACTGACCTTCAGTAATCTACTCCTAGAGCGTGTGCATGGAATTCCGAGTGGCTACATTTTTTATAGGATGAACCTAGTTATTCCTTGGGTCTTTTGATCTTGAGGAGTTTGTTGCTAAGTGGAGAAGTCGAAGGGGTTCAGCTCTGTCCTGTTGTCCAGAGAAAAGGCACAGAGAAGGCTTGAGGGGGCTGCCATTTAATTCTTGTGTTCTATCCCCCCAGCAACTCAAGGGGGTAGGTGGCCTAACTTCATTTGAAAGATGACGAGATAAACTCGGATGCTCTGAGTCGTAGGCCGCACGGGGACACGGAGAGCCCAGGTCCAGTCTTACCACCTCCACATTTCCAGGTCTTTCGACTTGACTAAGGTGCTGCTCGTGGCCTCTGATGGGGACAGGAGGTGGGGGGCCTCCCCACTGCCACTAGGAGGCCCTTCCTGGGGACTCATTGTTTCCCTGTTGGCTTATTTCCTAGATATTTATTAAGCATCTACTCCGTGCCAAACACTGTGGGAATTTAGAAGGAGCAAAGCAGAGCCCCCATCCTCAGGAAGCTGACAGTTCATCTAGAGAGACAGACGCATAGACAGTTTTTCAAAAAGAAGAAAGGAAAATTCGAGGAAAGAATATTGAATGCTTCTCTTAGCTGCAATTGCACTGTCAAGCCCATGCACATAGTAGGTGTGCATTAAATGTCATCTGAATGAATACAATCTCTCTCCCCCATCATCATTCCCCAACTGCCAGAAACCTCACTCTTGGCTTCCCTGGGTTTAGGACACCAGCTGCTCCGTGCACGGTCAGCCCGTGGACGGACAGTCCAGGAGCCTCGTTTAACCGGAGCGTTAGCTGTGGGAGCCACAGCTTCAGCCGAGAGGAGCGCAAGAACGACCAGTGCTACAAGCTGTTGGGCCCACTTGGGGTCCAGACGGGCCACATTTATTTCTTCCTCACAAGTGCTGACGGCATGGGTATTCTTACCACGCCAATGTACAGATGGGGAAACTGAGGCACACCGAGGTTGCTGTGTACATGTCCAGGCCCCCGATGGCGAGGGAAAGACGGACCTCAGGCCAGGTCCCAGGGAGAAGCCTGTGGGCCTCTAGGCGTCTGGGGAGGAGGGAGCCCTTCCAGCTCCAGGAAGGAGGTGAGGAGCAGGGAATTTCCCAGCATCCTTTGGGCTGGCCCTGACACCCGCCTCCCTCCATCTTCCTCAGGCCTGCCCTCCCTTCCCCTGCCACTCCATAGGCCTGGGTGGGGGTCTCAGAGTGTGCTGAGACAAAGGGGGCTCCGAGGAGCCTTCCTGGCTGAACCCACACTTCCTGAGCAAAAGGAGTGCCCTAAGAACTGCTGGTAAGCAAATGGCCTCAGAGTGGTACAGCTATTTATCCTGCCAGCAAGAGACTTCCTCCTCCGTGTTTTCTCTGTTTCCTCTCCTGGCAATTCTTTGACTCACCCATCCTCCATCTCTTCCTCTTTTGATTTTTCTGGGTATCTCCTTTCCCTTCTTCTCCTCCTTCACACCCTTTTCCTCCTCCTTTCCACATTCTTTGTGCTTTTTGCCTCTTTCTTCTCTTCTCATGGGTTCCAAAAGAGCTGTCTTCTTTTTTTTTTAATAGAGACTGTTTTATTTTACATTTATTTATCTTATCTGGCTGTGCCAGGTCTTAGTTGGGGCATGTGAACTCTTAGTTTCTGCACGTGGGGTCTAGTTCCCTGACCAGGGATCGAACCCCGGCCCCCTGCACTGGGCATACAGAGGGTTAGCCAGTAGACCATCAAGGAAGTCCCAAGAGCTGTCTTTTATACACACACATGTGTAAACACATCTATGTAGGTGCGTGTATAGGACATAAGATTTACTTCATTGTGTACTGTCTATGTATGCATATCACATATACACACATAAAATCAGGGCATCTGCACTGCTGAATACGTCCTTCTGTGAAGAATGTAGGAGATTCAGAAGATCTGGGGTCAAAGTCTGGCCAGGGCCACACCCATGACAGGCGGCAGAATGGGTGGGAAAAGGACAACTCCGCAGAAGCGTGGGCTTCAAGTGTTAGACATCACTTGGGCTAGTTTCTGATGCTCAGTTTTTATGGGACCCTGGGAAAATTATGTTCTTTCCCTGTTTCTTCTTCATGTGGAAAAGCAGGCCTACAATACTACACAGAACTGCAGTGATGCTCAAATTAAAGATGAGTGGCAGGAGAAATAAAAATGTGAGTCATTATTTCCATTACAGGTTTTTATTCACGCACAGACACACACACACATACACACATGCAATCACACTCACACACCACACCCTGCTCCTTATTTGAGCTGCAGGACAGTTGTGTGAATGTGAAGAGGAGGTAGAGACAGATGGGGAGGAGGGGACCTCCCCTTCATAAAAAAGGAGAGTGGTTTTTACATAATTCCGGGTAGATTGCTCACCCTCAGTGTCTAAGGGAATATTTCTTAATTTTCTTTTTACTCATGCCCAGCGGAACATTTGTTTAACTTTAGTAATTTGTATAATTTTTAAAAACCTATTTCTCTTTTTTCTCTAAGCATAACGTCATTTTGCAATGTCCACTATGCTTTCTCAAACTCCCCTTCCTTGAAATGTGGCTGAGCCCCAGCTTTGGAAGATGGAGAATTCATCCTGAACTGTTGCGTTTGTGGCTTTGGCTCAGCCGCTCACTTTTTCGGAGCCTCAATTTCCCTCTCCTGTGAGATGAGGGCCTCCTTGGCACTTACGAGGCCTGTGGTGAGGAGACAAGCCCCTGGAGTCAGCATCCCTCATCTCGACCCATGGGGCTCAGGGCAGGCCCGTGGTGCACGGCAGGGGGCCCGCGGCGGGAAGAGTTTCTCTCTGGGGACCGTCTCCTGGAGATTGTGTGACATTTTTTCTCACTCTTAGCAATCTGGCCAAACTCCAGGGCCGCCTGTCATGAGCAGTCCTGTTTGCTTGCAATTTGCAGAGTGGAGAGGGTAAGGGACAGGCTTGGACTATTCCATCAGTTGGGTGGGGTGGGAATCACTTTAGAACAGACATGGGCTTTGTCCTCTTAGGAAACAGGGATTCCTACAGGATTCAGAGGGAGTCTGGGGGGAGGTTAATCCTTTCAGGGATGACATTCAGTGCCAGCCAATTCTTGGTGGATGTCCTATTCAACATTCAATCATGCTGTGTGGTGGCATGAATAGCCCCATTTCACAGATGGGGCCACTGAGGATCAGAAAGTGGTACATAATTGTTCTTAGTCATGTGCCCAGCAGGATTTGCACCTGCATCTGTGGCCTCTCAAGCACAGTTGCAATGTGGGATGGAGGGATGAGTGGTTCCAGGGGTTAAAGGACACGTTTCTGAGGGTCTATGTTTTTTCCTCTTTGTTCACCCATTTCCTTGAGCAGAATAAATTTCAGGAGGTGGTGACGACAGTGATCTGACTCCCAACTGTGTCCATCCAGTGTCCTGTGGGGGCCTGCTAACTAGGGAGCCAGACACTCTGGAGGGGTCTTCTTTCCCAAGCTATGGATGACCATCTCTCCTAAGACCAAGAGTTTGGAGCAGTGGATTATGTTCCCACTGGTCTTCTCCCCAAGGTTTCACAGGCGTTTATTCCTTGTTCTGGCGCACCCAGCATGGCGACTGTAGGTTAAAGGGAGTGAAGACAAGAGGAGGGAATGAAAAAGTGAGACTCTATAGAGGCTGACACATCTAGGCTCACATCTCAGTTCGCCACCTCTCATCTGTGTGGCTTCGGGCAAAACAGGGCGTGCCTCTGAGCCTCCATTTACCCATCTGTAAAATGGGGATGACAGTCTCCTACACAGTAAGATGAACTGAGATGGGGGATGGAGGGAGAGCCCGGGCTGGAGTGAGGCACAAGGGAAGAACTCAGAAGATGCAAGAGTGCAAGAGTTTTTGTTTGTTTGTTTGTTTTGTGGGAGAGAAGATGTGTGCTCTGAGGACCTTTTAGTAAAGCTGAAGTCCCACCCTTCCCCGCCCCCAGCTGTTCAGAGTTAATAGCAAGAGACATACATTGCATAAGCACGAAATTTCACTTGGAGGGAGAAAAGACGAGAGAGGGGAAAAGAAAGATCTGCAAACAGTTAGTCATCACCAGAGTGATGCTCAGAGCTGATTCTCACGAAACAGCTTTGTGATGAAGAGATTAAGCCTCAGTTACAGATCATGCCCAGAGGTGGCCGGAATGTTCCCAGGTCACCCCAAACTCTGCACGGTGCCCGCCGTGTGGTGGGACCCGGTTCTGCCAAGGGGACGTGAGCCCTTGGCCTTTCCAGCGGCCGGGACATGGCGAGCCACCCGGCCGGGGCTCCCTGCCCGCTGCCTGCTGTCAGGGGCTGGAGGCCACTGAGCGTTCCAGAGCCGAAGAATCGGAAGCTCGCCAAGTTCACAGCTGCGGAGAAACACTTACCCAGTTTGTTTTTAATCAAACACCCCACACTGACACTTGGGCTCCAATCAACCATTTAAAAAGTTCCGCTAGCAAATAAACACTTAGCCAAATATTTGCCCTTATGTGTTTTCAATAGTAAATACCAGCTATATTGCTCATCTCCTTATAGCACCCTGATAGGGTCTGCCCCTGGTTGTCTCTGGGGCCGAGTAGCTTCTCCAGTGATGAGTGGGAGCCCCTTCCAGACCTCCCACTGTGGAGCCAAGAGCAGAGGACTGTCTGGTGAAAGCAGCCCCCTCTTACCTCAAAGGCTAGACCTGCTTAAGACCTTCGCCTGCGATTTGCACTGATGCGTGGCTTAGCCTCCAAGCCCCAGACAGGTTTTCCTGTCTCCCTCTCTTTCCCTTGGGTGATCAGCAGCCAGCCTGCGATGGCCAGAGGGTCCAGGAGGGTATATCTGGGAGTTTAAGTTATACAGAACACAGTTCCAGAGAGACACGGATGCACACACACCTTCCCACACAGCAACCGTGGCAGTGGTTAGCATCCCTTGGCTGCAAGGAACAGATTCCTCTGCTGGAGGGAGTAAGAGGGGCTTATAAGAGGAGAGGCTGGAAAGTTAGGTCTGGAAAAGGCAGTGCTGCCACTGGAAAGAATGTTCTACCACATTCAGTCTCGGACACCATGCTTATGGATCAAGTTCCAGGGAGGAACCAGGGGAGAACTGGACACCTTCATTTAAAAGTCCCTCAAGTCTCAACTGAATTAATTTTCAACTTGTTCTTTTCACATCCCAACACATGTAGAAAAGTGTTTGCAAGACATAATAGAGTGAAAGAACGAGGCCGCCCCAGGCTGTAAGCCACCGCTGGACGCTGCCGGCTTCCCACATGGGCCTGAGGCTTCGGCAGCTCAGTCTGTGTCGGTTCACAGCAAGTGCTGGGAACCTCAGCTGTTTCCAGGAGGAGGAGGTAGTTCCGCAAAGTGTAATCAGGATGCTATCCCAGCACGCATGAAGGCCTCCGTCATCATCCACGAAATGATCGGAGCTGCTCTCCTGCCGTGGCCTCTGCCTCAGCTGCTCTCCATCTCATTCCGGCCACAGTATACGGACTCTTCACCCAAGTCCTCTCTCAGTAAAGGCGTGGCAGGAAATGCACCTAAATCTCTGCTCACACATTACAAATCTCCCCTTCAAAAGGCTCAGGGCACCACAGACCCAGGCTATGGGTCAGCGGCTTTCCCCACGGGGATCTAGAAGAGTGCTCTGCCCACAAGACATGTTTCAGAACGGACTCCAGACTTAGCTGAAACCTCTGCTCCAGACGAGCCGCTCACATCCCCTTACTCTTCTGTTTAAGGTCCGCTTGGGAGCTCTTTTTCCTTTAAGATCTCTGCTAAAGGAGTCTCTGGATGTATACTTACACAGTGAACAATGGGAGAAATCAAGTGGACTCTCCCCAAAGGATAACCAGGCCGAAGCACCACATAATCCCGAGCTGTTCATGGTGTTCTTTGGTTTTCAAAGCCCATATCTGGACTCTCTTCTGAAAACTTAACCAGTCTGCCATATTCTTGGACTGGCAAAACTATAATGTTGAGGCTTTCTGCCCACTGATAACCCATGAGAAATAAAAGCAGAACTGCTCTGAGATGACCATGCAAGTTGATGATGAAATGGGACTTAATTCATAAAACCTTTTGATGAAGTTGCAGGAAGTCTCAAGAAAAGAGAAATTAACTTCTGGGGAGAGCTCACCCATGCTAGCTAATTGCACTTGCATCATTTCATTCCATCTCTCATCTTCTCAGCAAACGTTTAGGTAGATGTTATAATTCCCATTTTGCAGATGAAGGTACTGAGGAGTGACTTAAAGATATATGTGGGATTGTGTATTTATTTATTTTTGACTGCCCTGGCTCTTTGCGGCAGCGCATGGGGCGTGGTGTCTCCGTGGCCCGTGGGATCTTGGCTACCTGAACAGGGATTGAACCCACATCCCTTGCATTGGAAGGTGGCTTCTTAACCACTGGACAGCCAGGGAAGTTTTCTGGGCTTGTTTTTCTAAGTGACTAGTCTGAGGCAGAGCTGGGGCTCAAACTCAGGTGCTTTATGTTTCAGTTTTACTTCTGTAGCTCTTTGCATGCCCTCTCTCTAGGATCAGTGATTTTTTTTGCAGGTATGGTTTTTGATGCTAGCTGATATCAAAATCACATGACATGCAACCAGACTTCTTGCTTCATGGGAAAAAGAAACTCCTATTGGGAGCAGCAGTTACACATGGCTATGGTGAACCTGGGACTTCCCAGGTGGCATTAGCGGTAAAGAACCCGCCTGCCAATGCAGGGGACATAAGAGATGCAGGTTCGATCCCTGGGTTGGGAAGATCCCCTGAAGAAGGAAACAGCAACCCATTCCAGTATTCTTGCTTGGACAGGGAAGCCTGGTGTGCTGCAGTCCATGGGGTCGCAAAGATTTGGACACGATTCTCAGTTCAGCGACTGAACTGAACTGAAACACATTTTAAAAAATCACTCAACTTATGCAAATCTATACATATTAATGGGATAAAGTGATAGAAGATTTTTAAAAGGAAAATATCCCACTTAATAATTCATGTATTTTTGTAGAAAAATACTGGGCACTACAAGAGGGAGTAAACTCAGAAATGAAGATTCTTCTGCTGCCACCTCCTCAGTACTTCTCTCCAAAAGTAACCTGTGTAGGAGCCCAGGTTTTTTTTCTCTGCATCGGGATTGGGGCCAGGGTGAAGCAAAGTGCCCAGGGGGTGAAATGGAAGGTGGTGCCCACAGGTTTGTGCAGGAACAGAGTCCATACCTCCATGAGCTTGGGTGACAGGGTGGGGGGGTCACCTCCTTACATTTTACTCCCCAGACACCTCGCTTGAGTCCACTCTCCTCTTGCTTGGCTCCATGCTACATATATTTATGTGGGTCCTTATCAGTTCAGTTCAGCTCAGTCGTGTCCGACTCTTTGCGACCCCATGAATCGCAGCACGCCAGGCCTCCCTGTCCGTCACAAACTCCCGGAGTTTACCCAAACACATGTCCATTGAGTCGGTGATGCCATCTAGCCATCTCATCCTCTGTCGTCCCCTTCTCCTCCTTATACTTATTTTTTAAAAACTGAAATAATGTATTTTATTGTGACTTTCTTTTTTACTCAATAATGAATCAGGATCCATTTGTGTCCCTTCCTATAAATGCAGCTCAAACTTTTAAAAGCTGTGTATCATTCTGTACTATGAATGGACCATAGTTAGGTCATTTCCCTATTGATGAACATTTAAATTTTAAAATTGTTATCACTCCGTGTCTTAATCAATTTGGGCTCCTGTAACATAATACCATAGAGTGAGGGCTGAAACAAGAATTTGTTTCCTCGTTTCTGGAGGTTGGGAAGTCCAAGAGCAAGGTGCTGGCAGGTTTGGCTCTTGGTGAGGGCTTTCTTCCTGGAGTGTGCTCCTGGAGGGGCCAAGCCTCTCCTGTCTCTCCTCTAACCAGGGTGCTGATCCCACCACGAGAGCCCCGATCTCATCGTTGCTGTTCTGTCGTGTCTGACTTTGCGACCCCATGGACTGCAGCACGGCAGGCCTCCCTGTCCATCACCAACTCCCGGAGTTTACTCAAACTCATGTCCATAGAGTTGGTGATGCCATCCAACCACCTCATCCTCTGTCGTCCCCTTCTCCTCCTGCCTTCAATCTTTCCCAGCATCAGGGGCTTTTCTGAGTCAGTTCTTCACATCTGGTGGCCAAAGTATTGGAGTTTCAGCTTCAGCATCAGTCCTTCCAATGAATATTCAGGATTGATTTCCTTTAGGACTGACTGGGTTGATCTCTTGAAGTCCAAGGGATGTCAAGTATCTTCTCCAACACCACAATTCAAAAGCATCAATTCTTTGGCGCGCAACTTTCTTTATAGTCCAACTCTCACATCCATACATGACTACTGGAAAAACCATAGCTTTGACTAGATGGGCCTTTATTGCCAAAGTAATGTCTCTGCTTTTTAATATGCTGTCTAGTTTGGTCATAGTTTTTCCTCCAAGGAGCAAGCGTCTTTTAATTTCATGGCTACAGTCACCATCCGCAATGATTTTGAGGCCCAAGAAAATAAAGTCTGTCACTGTTTTCATTGTTTCCTCATCTATTTGCCATGAAGTGATGCGATCAGATGCCAAGACCTTCGTCTTTTGAATGTTGAGTTTTAAGCCAGCTTTTTCACTCTCCTCTTCCAGCTTCATCAAGAGGCTCTTTAGTTTCTCTCTGCTTTCTGTCATAAGGGTAGTGTCATCTGTATAAATGAGGTTATTGATATTTCTGGAAGTTCTTGGTTTATGTACTGCTACAGCCTAGCATGGAGGACTTTGAGCATGACTGCTAGCATGTGAAATGAGTACAACTGTGTGGTAGTTTGAGCATTCTTTGGCATTGCCCTTCTTTGGTACTGGAATGAAAACTGACCTTTTCCAGTCCTGTGGCCACTGCTCTTTTCCAAATTTGCTGGCATATTGAGTGCAGCACTTTCACAGCTTCATCTTTTAGGATTTGAAATAGCTCAACTGGAATTCCATCACCTCCACTAGCTTTGTTCATAATGATGCTTCCTGAGGCCCACTTGACTTCACATTCCAGGATGTCTGGCTCTAGATGAGTGATCACACCATCGTGATTATCTGGGTCGTGAAGATCTTTTTGTATAGTTCTTCTGTATATTCTTGCCACCTCTTCTTAATATCTTTTGCTTCTGTTAGGTCCCTACCACTTCTGTCCTTTATTGAGCCCATCTTTGCATGAAATATTCCCTTGGTATCTCTAATTTTCTTTTTTTTTTTTTTCATTTATTTTTATTAGTTGGAGGCTAATTACTTTACATCATTGCAGTGGTTTTTGTCATACATTGAAATGAATTAGCCATGGATTTACATGTATTCCCCATCCCGGTCCCCCATCCCACCTCCCTCTCCACCCGATCCC